AGCTTCCAATGGCAGAGGGCGCAGAGGGCGCAGACAGGCACCAGGAGCGCTGGGGCCATGCACGGGTTCAAGCTGACTCCCTGGCTTGGCACTGGGGGTCACACCAGGCGGGGCTTGGAGGACCATATGGGGTGCCAGGGAACGAACCCGGGTCTGCCAGGGGCAAGGCAAGTGCCCTACCCACCTTACTATCTCTTTGGCCCTGGTACGCCGTTTTTAGAGGACATTATCAAGCTGATGTGTTTCCCCCTAGCATCTTCCCCTTCATTCCGGTATTTATTTTCTCTTTCCCTCCCTTTCTCGCTGAGGCTGAGGGTCGCACACTCTAGGTGGTGGTTACCCACTTTGGGGGGGGGGGAGGTTTCCACTCGGCCTGCCAGAGCTCCAGCCATGCCCACTTTTCCCTATTTCCAGTGAAAAGTACGTCATAGGAAAAGCATCTGGTTGAAAACTCACATAAATCAATGCTTTTGGGTCCAGAGATTGTCTTAAGGGACTAAGCATGGAGAAACCTCACCGCACAGAAGAAAGAGCCAGAGTTCTGGCCCGGGCGCCCCTAAGAGCCAAGCTGACACTTTGAAAGAGAAATATTTCAGAAGTGCTCCCTGACATAAAGATAGTAAAGAAAACATATAAAATCATATTTGCAAACAAAAAACCACCTTTCAGAAAAAGACAACATTTAAAAAAGAAAAACTCTGGGGGGCCAGATAGACAGTTCAGTGCGAAGGTGCTTTCCTGATATCAAAGAGTCAAATATGGACCCCTGAGGACACTACTTCCACTACCCAGCCGTCGCCACACTCCAGGACGCTTTCCGGACCCGCGCGACAGCTCCGGCCGAGACCCACGCACAACTGAAGACCCACAGAACAAGGTAAGCGGAACTCTCTGAGACCTTGGACTCCAGGCTCGGCGGACCCAGGGACAGAGCTTCTCTGCTTGCTCCCACCACCACAGGTGACAAAGGGATTCTAATTAGGAGCCCCACCCTACCCTGCCCTGTCTGCTTCCATCAACCACCCAGGGATCGAATTGTGCACAGGAGACACACCCTACCCAGATAAATATCCCACTGGCAGACTTCCACTCTCGACACTACTTCCACTACCCAGCCGTCGCCACACTCCAGGACGCTTTCCGGACCCGCGCGACAGCTCCGGCCGAGACCCACGCACAACTGAAGACCCACAGAACAAGGTAAGCGGAACTCTCTGAGACCTTGGACTCCAGGCTCGGCGGACCCAGGGACAGAGCTTCTCTGCTTGCTCCCACCACCACAGGTGACAAAGGGATTCTAATTAGGAGCCCCACCCTACCCTGCCCTGTCTGCTTCCATCAACCACCCAGGGATCGAATTGTGCACAGGAGACACACCCTACCCAGATAAATATCCCACTGGCAGACTTCCACTCTCGACACTACTTCCACTACCCAGCCGTCGCCACACTCCAGGACGCTTTCCGGACCCGCGCGGCCGCTTGCGGCCGCGCGACACATCATAAGACACTAAATACCCGTCTTCTGGAATTGTCGTACCATATTTGATAGGGTTCAAATATGGTAACACCTACAAGGGTGATTAGAGGTCACCCCAAAAGCCTCTATACCTCTCGGAAAGACTGGCAAGCTACCGAGAGTATTCCGCCCGCACGGAAGAGCCTGGCAAGCTATCCGCTGTGTATTCGATATGCCAAAACCAGTAACTACAACTGGTCTCATTCACCTGACCCTGAAGGCTTCACCGACATGGCAGCACTGAGAAGGATGAGAAAGGAGAGGCCGACAAAATCTCAAGGCCGACCTAGGCTGCCACAATGAAGGAAGACAAAAATGATCGTCTGTACTTTCAATGCACGTACGCTAGCATCAGATGCATCCATCGAGGACCTGATGGTACAAGTGCGAATGATCAAGTACGACATCATTGGTCTGACCGAGACAAGAAGACACGAATCTCACCATGCCGTTTTCGACACTGGAGAAGAATTGTTCCTCGGAACATGCGATAAAAGAGGTGTTGGAGGCGTCGGTGTCCTTGTCAACACAAACTTGGCCAAGAGCATTGATTCATTTGAATGCCTAACAACCCGAATCGGACGTTTACATTTGAATAGATGTGGCTCACTGCCTGCAGTTTCTATCTTCGTTGTCTACGCACCAACATCTCATTATGATGAAAGAGAAATCGAGAAGTTCTACATGGAGCTAGAGAAGTTCTATAAAGAAGACCACACCTTCTACAAGATCATTGTGGGTGATTTTAATGCCAAGATAGGACCGAGAAGATCAGCTGAAGAACTTCACATTGGGACCCATGGCCTAGAATGGAACGAACAGGGTGAGAGACTGTCTGAGTTCATCATGTCGACCAAGACCATTCATGGTAACTCACAGTTCCAGAAGGCAGAATCTAAACGATGGACATGGGAGTCTCCCGGTGGACGATTCCACAACGAAATAGACCACATCATATTCAATCGACGGTTTTGCCTGACTGATGTCGCTGTTGTCCCAAAATTTCGAACGGGATCGGACCACCGTCTCCTTCGTGCAAAATTCTACTTCACAGAGCGGGGAGAAAGGGCTGCAAAGTTCAAAAAGAGAACTCCCAGAACGACCACCAACTGGGAACTCTTTGGTACTATTGCGGCAACATGGGAAGATGCCATTGTTGACAACATTGACGAGGAATACGATCGACTGGTTCAGCACCTCCATGAATGTGCGAGGAACGCCAAGAGAGAGATAGCCACAAAAAGTCACCTATCTTCGAAAACTCTTGAGCTAATTCGCCAGCGTGGTTTGGCGCATGCCTCAGGCAACCGCAAGCTAACGTCCGAGCTTGCAAAGCAGTGCAGAGATGCGATCAAGGAAGACCTCAAAGAGAGAAGAGCAGAAGTACTGGTAGATGCGGCAGAAGCCGGGAAAAGTATTCGTAACGCCCGCCTGTCCTTCGCCAACTATAAGACCAAGATGACTGCCCTCCGACGTCCTGATGGATCCATCACATCCTCCAGAACGGCAATGGAGAAGATTATCCATGACTTCTACTCAAATCTCTTCGATAGCCATGTCCACTTGCCGACATACCAAATTCCACAGGATGGGTATGTCGTTCCAACGTTCTCCCTTCCGAAATCCGACACGCCATTTCGTCAGTAAAGAAGCAAACAGCACCCGGCCCAGACAAGGTCAGACCTGAACACCTGAAGAACCTGCCGTCAGTACTCATCAATACACTGGCTCGGCTCTTCACTCGCTACCTGTCTGAATGCAAGGTTCCATCTCAATGGAAAACCAGCAGGACCGTACTACTGTTCAAGAAGGGAGACATCCATGACATTGGCAACTATCGCCCGATCTGCCTATTGTCTGTCATCTACAAGCTGTTCACTCGAGTCATCCTGAATAGGATTGGCAGAACACTAGATGAAGGACAACCATGCGAGCAAGCAGGGTTCCGCAAAGGATTCAGCACCATCGACCATATCCACACGGTAACCAAGCTCATTGAGGTTTCTCGGGAGTTCAAGATGCCGCTCTGCTTAACGTTCATTGATTTAAAGAAGGCCTTTGATTCTGTTGAGACGGAAGCGGTCATTGAAGCCCTAGCCAATCAGGGCATTCAAGCCCAATACATCAGGATCCTCCGTGAGCTGTATTGCGGATTCACTACCAGGATCTCACCATTCTACAAAGAAGTGATCGTTGATGTCAAGAGAGGGGTGCGGCAGGGTGATACCATTTCACCAAAACTCTTCAGTGCCACCCTCGAGAACATCATGCGACGACTGGAATGGGAAGGAATGGGAGTGAAGATAGATGGTCGGCAACTACACCACCTCCGCTTTGCTGATGACATTGTTTTAATAACACCAAACATCAGCCAAGCGGCACAAATGCTGGCCGACTTTGACCGTGAGTGTGGAAAGGTAGGACTACAGCTGAATCTTACGAAGACAATGTTTATGAGAAACAGCCTTGTTCCTGATGCCCCATTCGCTCTCAATGGAACGACCATCTCCGAATGCAACAGCTATGTGTACCTAGGTCGAGAGGTCAACATGACAAATGACCTGGCACCCGAGCTGCACAGGAGGAAGAGAGCGGCTTGGAACGCCTTCAGGAACGTCGAAGAAATAGCTAAGAGGACGAAGAACCTCCGGCTCCGGGCACATCTCTTTGATTCCACTGTTCTTCCTGCATTAACATATGCCTCAGAGACCTGGGCCCTACGCAAACAAGATGAGAACGCCATTCAGGTCTCCCAAAGAAGAATAGAAAGAGCTATGCTTGGAATATCACGTTTCACTCAAATGAGAGAACGAATCCGGAGTTCTGACATCCGTCGACGATCAAGGATCAGGGACGCTGTCTCATTTGCCAAGGTGTCGAAAATCAGATGGGCTGGTCACGTAATGAGATTTAAAGACGACCGTTGGACTAGAGCTGTTACTGATTGGATTCCACGGGATGTCAAGAGACCGCGTGGCCGCCCACCTACCAGATGGTCAGACTTCTTTGTCAAGGTCATGAACGATCGGTTTGAGGCCCTCCATGTTCCCGGAGCGAAGAGATGCCATTGGGCTACACTAGCACGCGACAGGGACAAATGGAGACGTTACTGGCGCCCGCTCGAGCAAATCGACGACTAACGGGAAGTTAAGTGATTAAGTGATTAAGTGAGGACCCCCAAGAGTAATCCCTGAGCATCACCAGGTGAGGCCCCAAGCAAAAACCAAAGCAAAGCAAACAAATAAACATGTGCTGAAAATAACCAGTAGGAAACAGGCTGGGACGGGCGTGTGGGAGAAACAGAATTTCCCGCACACCCTGCATCCAGCCCTGAGGTCACACTGCAGAACCTCAAGAGTTTGAATGAAAAATGTAGGCAATTGTATTTCTAGAAAATGAGAATGTAAGGTTAGAGGCTTCAGGTCTTGCCAAGACTCAATCAAGGGGAAAGGCGGGTCACGAAAACAAAATCACTCACAAACCTACGTTTCTTCTGCAGGCCCGTGGGCAGCGGCTGCGCTCCTCAAAGTGGAGGCCGGGGAGAATGCGCAGAACTTCCTCGATTCTGCGCCAACCAGGCCGGGAGAGCAGCTGGGCCAGCCGCATGCTGAGGGGGGCATAGCCGAGATGTCCGTCGGGTTCTGCGGAGGATTCGAGAGGGACACCTGGAGTCAACCAACTCTGCCTAATGGGCCATGGGATCTTTTTTTTTTTTTTTTTTTTTTGCGGAGGCCATACCCTGCGGTGCTCAGGGCTCCCTCCTGGTGCTGCACTCAGGGAACACAACCTGGGTCGGCCACATTAAAGGCAAATGTCCTCCACGCTGCCGTCCTGGATTTGACTTTTGGGAGGAACACAGTGTGCTCCAGCCTACCCCGCTGAGCCCTGCCATCTCCACCCTCTACCCAATTCCCAATCTCTCTCTTCTCTCCTTCTCTCTCTCCCCCCCACCCCCACCCCTACAGCTTTATGCATCAGACCTGGTGGTGCAGAGCTGACGCATGGCTCTGCCCTCACCTCTCCTGGCCCTGAGTCCTTCTGTCTCAAACCAATCTCAGAAAGCTGCTTGGTGTCCCTGTGTGCTGGAAGGTGCCAGTGCCCGGCAGCCCGTGCAGAGGGCAGGGGCGTGGCCAAACCCCAGCACCGCTGGGTCCGAACATTCAATGGTCTGCCCGGGAAAGATTCCATCCGACCCCCACAGAAGAAAAACTGTTCATCGATTTGGTGAGAAACTTCTCCTATGGAAACTTGGCCCACTGGGGGGAGGGAATGTGGAGAGCTCTAAGCCCAGCCAAGCTACTCTCAGGCATTCTTCTAGGGGCCGAGGCCCCAGGGCACAGCCACACCCAAATCTCCCAAGGGTGAGAGTGACAGCCCCTAGCATCACAGTGACCCCCAGTCTGAAACCCCCCCTCTCTGACAGTGACTCTGAGTCCAGCAGCCCCAACTGCCCACGGTGAGTCAGTTGTGTTGGTCCCCAATCCTCTTACTTGAGGCTGGCCTTTTCGCTGACCAGAGGCTTCCTTGAGCCCAGACCAGCCTCCCCCGCCCTGAGGCCTAAGTGGACAAGGGCCCCCGCTTCCCACCCCAGCCCCCATCTTCAAAAAGTGTCCCCCAACAAGCCCCACTCAGTCCTGGCTTCTGCAAGGGCAGCGCCTTCCCACCAGCAGGACGCCACACCACTGGGGAAATGTGTGTGTGTCTATGTACGTGTCTGTGTGTGTGCTGGCGCGTGTGCATGTGCGTGAAGGCTCGGCTCGCCTATTAGATGGCGTGCATGTGCCTGCGTGTGCTCGAAGACTCGGCTCACCTGCGCATTCACATCGTCCATCCAGAGGCGCAGGGTCTTCCGGATGGTGGGGTAGCTGTTCCTGCCCCCCTGCTGGGGCCGCAGCAGCCCGGCCTTCTCCAGGTTCTGTAACGTCAGGATGTGCTCGTAGCCATATGTCTGCAAGAGAAGTTGGGGAGCCTGCTAGATCTCCCACTTCCGAAAAGGGAGCGAACATTTTCACTCTCATTTTGATACTACTGTTTTTGAGTCATACCCGGCAGCATCCAAGACAAGTGCCTTACCCCTTTCTAGCTCTTGGTTTGTTTTTGTTTTTTTTTCTTTTCGAGTCACACCCGGCGATGCTCAGGGGTTACTCCTGGCTTTGCACTCAGGAATCACTCCTGGAGGTGCTCGGGAAACCATATGGGATGCTGGGAATTGAACCAGGGTCGGCTGCGTGCAAGGCAAACACCCTACCCGCTCTGCTATTGCTCCAGCCCCTTTCGAGCTCTTTGGACCCCACATTTTCACTTTAAATCAGAATGCATGGGCCCAACGTAAGGAAGATAGATGACAGTGTACTCAAATGACGGAGTAGGAAAAGGAGGCCAACCACACCTCCTGCCGTGCTGTTTTCCAGATGTCTCCTTTGTTTTGTTTGCTTCTGCACGCCCCCCCATGCTCAGGGATCAGTGCTGGTGGGGCTCAGGGGACCCATTTGCGTGGATCAGTGCTGGTGGGCTCAGGGGACCCATATGCATGCTGGGGATCAAGCCCAGGTGGGCCACGTGCAAGGCCAACTGCTTTTTTGGGTCTCACCCGGCGATGCACAGGGGTTACTGCTGGCTCTGCACTCAGGAATAACTCCTGGCGGTGCTCAGGGGACCATATGGGATGCTGGGAATCGAACCCGGGTCGGTCACGTGCAAGGCAAACGCCCTATCCGCTGTGCTATCACTCCAGCCCCAACAAGACCAACTGCTTTTTTAAAAAATTTCTCCCTTGGCAAATGAGTCACTTAGAAACACTGACCTGGAGAATTTCTCTTTTGTAATAATCCAGAACCTTCTGCTTGAGCCCACTGTTGCACACCGACTGCAGGCAAATGAGCCTGAGCACCTTGATGAGTGGATGCTTCTGGGCGATGCAGTCCTCGATATAACTGTTGACCTAGAGTCATGGCAGGTTTGTGCGTGAGCACCGGGACTGGGCCTGCAGGCCTGGGCGTCCCCGGGCCCTCAGAGGCCCGATCAAAGAGAGACTGGAGATTGGCTCACGCTCCTGCCCACACTCCCTGGACAACCTAAGCTCAAGGGGCTGCGGGCGGGTGCAACTGTCCCACTTGTCAGCGACACCTGAGCAGCATCAGTAAAGTAGCAGGGACTGTGGGGAATTTGGGCGCTTGCTTGCTGCAAGTGAGAATGCGGGATTTATTGACGGGCAGACAGGAAAAGCGATCATATAACCCACGCTCTTATATTATCCGTGATGGGCTTCAATAGTCTTGGGCTTCAGGGCTGGGTCTTGTTTCTCTGAGGAGAGCGAACAGCAATGGAACACATGCACACACACACGCAATGGAACACACACACACACACACACACACACCACCCCCGGTCAACAGAAACCTATCCCTTGGCAGAATCTCTTTCCGCTTCAAGGCTGGGTCTTGTTTCTCTGAGGACAGCGAACAGCAATGGAACACACACACACACACACACACACACACACACACACACACTGGGTCTTGTTTCTCTGAGGACAGCGAACAGCAATGGAACACACACACACACACACCATGGAACACACACACACACACACACACACACACACACACACACCACCCCCGGTCAACAGAAACCTATCCCTTGGCAGAATCTCTTTCCGCACATTTTGCACTGCCCTGGCAGGTATTTAGGCCAGACACGGGAATCAAAGCGATTCCTTTCCTACCTCGAGTTCTGTTTGCCAATCTGGTTAACTATCGGCTAAAACGGTTTTAGTGTTCACGTACCTTATCGGTGTCTATTCCGGACATAAACTCCTGCTCCACGGTTAACTTATCAAAGAAGTCTTCAGATGCTGAAACATAATTAACACACGAGCATCTCAGAAGTGGGAGAAATGCTCATTTCTCCCAGAGGCATGCAAAGTAGCAAGCAAGCACCAAGTTTAAGTCATCACCGGGAAGGCACCTTCCAGAACAGTGAGGCCGACGGCCTGTGCCCCGAGGTGCGCCTAGACACAGAGCCCCGGGGCCTGGGCCCTAGCAGCTCCCCCTTCACACTAATTAAAGCAATTTCCCAAGGGCATTTTACTTTGGTTCGTTTGGGGGCCACCCCCGGTGGTGCTCAGGGATCACTCCTGGCCGGCTTCGGAGACCATATGGACTCCGGGATCCAACCCGGGCCGGCTGTGTGCCAGGCACTGCAGTACCGCTCCAACTCCAGCTCCTTGCAACATCCGACTGAAACCAACTCAGCAAGTAGTGCCAGGTCTGGCGAAGCAGTGCTGGCGCCACCCGGAGCCTGGGAGAGCCCTGCTGCACCACCTGACCCCACAGAACCCAACAGTCACACTCGGAACATTTCTGCGAGGACACAGCGGCTAGCACAGGGAACAATGCACAAGTGAAACAGTAGCCGGGGCCCCCAGAAGTAGCAGGGAGCCAGTGACACACCCTGAGCCTGAGCCCGGGACAGGGCACTCACTCGTCACATCCTGGATGAGCTCGGCGATGGAGGTGTGGTTGGCCAGGGAGCCCCGCGCCGCCTGCATGTGGGGTAGCTGGGAGACGAACTGCTTGATCTCGCCCACCGTCTTGGCGTTGTGCCTTTCCTGAGGGAGGGGAGAAGGTCACGACAGTACTGGGGACAGCACTCAGGGCCACACACACACACACACACACACACACACACACAGGGCGTGCCCCAGTCACAGCCACAGCAGTGCTGGGGAGGTACCCAAGGCCACACACACACACACACACACACACACACACACACACACTGTGCCTCAGCCCCAGCCCTGGCTGCCAAGAGTGCATTTCTAAGAGTTTAGGTCTTTGGGTTGCCCAGGGCACGTTTGAATCACATGCAAGGCAGTGCCCCAGGCTTCCTCCTGGCCTGGAGCTCAAGGATCACTCCTGGCCTGCACCGGGAACACATGGAATGCTGGGGAGTGAACCCAGGTCAGCTGCATGCAAGGTAAGCGCCTGGCCCGTTGTGCTATCCCTCCGGCTCCCCCAAATTAATTTTTAGTGTGAGAAACAGACACAAAACGAATTAGGCTATAACCAGATCCCACAGCCACAGGAAAATAGAAAAGGCAGATTGGTGGGTCCAGGGACTGCGACAGCCACATCCTGCAGCACTGGGAGACCATGTGGACAGGGAGGGAGCCCAGGGCCCACGCAGGCCACACCTGACACTGCATGGTCCCTGCCAGGGATGTGGAGCTCAGCAAACTGCCTTGAAGCCACAAAAGCTAACGCTCGTATAGCCTGAGACCTCAACAATAGCAAATCAAGTGTAAAACGTTTCCTGGGTCCAAGCTATACAGTGGGGGAGGCGCTTGCTCAGTGCCCAGCCTCCCCACAGAACCCCGAGGCCTGCCAGGAGCCAGCCCTGAGCACTGGCAGCGGGAAGGGAGGGAAGTGGACACCACGGCGAGCTCGGAGCTGGCACAGTGAATGCCCGACACTTCTTATCCATAGCTTTATAAGTCACGGTGAGGAAATAAAAAATTGAGGAACAAAACCCAAGTGAACAAAAGCAACTTCAGAAATACAACAACCATGGGGTCAGAGTGACAGAACAGTGGCGAGGTGCTTGCCTTGCATGCGGCCAGCCTGGGTTCGATCCCCAGCATCCCATGGGGTTGCCTCAGCCCACCAGAAGTGATCCCTGAGCGCAGAGCCAGGGGTTAGCCCTGAGCACCTCTGGGTGTGCCTCCCCTCAAACCCTCCCCCCCCCAAAATCCAAAGAAATACAAATACTGATATAGTGGAGATAACTCCTAAAAAAGATGAAATCAGGAAATCCATCCTTCAAGGGAAAAAGTGATTTTTAAAAACTTCCCCAGAGTTAAAAAATTCAGCTTCTATCATTTTACTGATTCAGGTTTCAAAAGTGAGCTGAACCCAGAATAAAGAGCAGCAGGAGGGCGCGAGGTGCTAAGGAAGCTGGGGGCCGGGGACTGTGCTCTCAGTATCACCCGCCGTCCCAGCCTGCTCGGGATGATCCCGGATTCCCTAGATGCAGGAGCTAGCAGAGATGCCGCTACCGCCAGCGGCTGGGAGGAAGGAGAGAGGGACAGGGAGTGCGGACGGTGACTGGCAAAGGACCTGATACCAGGAAAGGGCCTGGCACCACCTTTCCCCAGGCGCCCGCAGCCCGCCTGCCACCTGGCCCCAGGCCCCAGTCACCTCAAAGGCGGCCGAGATGACCTTGGCCTTCTTGCTGAGCACGGCGCCCACGGCGTTGAAGTTGCAGTCTCGGATCTCGATGTAGAGCTCCTCAGCTGAGTTCAGCGGCAGCTTCTTGGCCTCTGTGGGCAGGTCCTGCCCGTCACCCTGCCTCTTCGGGGCGAATTTCTTGGGCGGCAACTTTACATGACCTGCACGGGAGGGGACACCCCAAGTGAGACTCCAGAGACTTCCTGTCAGGGGAGAGCACTGGGCTTTGAGTCACTAGCTGTGCACGAGCGGAGGACACTCACACTTTTCACGCACGGCTTCCCTGGCCTGGCCCGTGGGCCGCCTCCTGCCACTGCCAGCCCAAACCGAACTCAGGATGGGGCCACCCGAGGAAACATGCCCCAGGGCGGCCCAATGTCTGTCCTGCTGGTGCGTGCAAGTGCATGCAGTCTACACCGACATCTCAACAAGCCAAGAGGAGCCCAGGATGGGGCTGGAGTGATAGCACAGCAGGGAGGGTGTTTGCCTTGCACCGGGCAGACCCTGGTTCGATTCCCAGCATCCCATATGGCCCCCTGAGCACCGCCAGGAGTAACTCCTGAGAGCAGCACCAGGAGTAACCCCTGTGCATTCCCGAGTGTGACCCCTGTCACTGTCCTTCCATTGTTCATCGATTTTGCTCAAGCAGGCCCAGTAACGTCTCCATTTTGAGACTTGTTACTGTGTTTGGCATATCGAACACGTCACGGGTAGCTTGCCAGGCTTTGCCGTGCGGGCAAGATACTCTTCGAAAAAGAAAAAAAAAAAGAAAAAGAAGATCCCAGGAATCACCTCAGCATGGAAGTGTGCATGAGGGCGGGAGACAGCTCCGACGGCTTCTTTCCTTTCTTTTTCCTTTCTCTGATATTTGGGCCACACCTGTCAGTGCTCAAGGCTTATTCCTGGCTCTGTGCTCTGGGCTTATTCTTGGCAGTGACTGGGGGAACCATATGCGGTCCTGGGGACCAAACTCACCCTAACTGCTGCTCTGCCTCTAGCTCCAAATTGGTTCCTTTCAAAAAAACATCTCCAGTTTCAACACAAATCCCGACGTGTCTACACACAATCAGCTCCACTGCTGTGGGTCCAGAGAGACGGGTCATCGGGGGCAGCACACGCTCAAGTCCAGCTGTCTGTTCCTCTGAGCACTGCCCCGTGTGGGCCCTGAGCACTGTGGGGTGGAGCTGAGAATCATAAAGCAACAAGAACTCCTGCATCGGAGAATGTGGGGAGAGAAAGGGACCGACGGAAGGAAAATACTTCTCGGTGCTTTCCAAATCCTAAGCCCCTCCGAACAGCCCGGGCGCCAGCGTCTGGAGACAGCACGCCACGGTGGCCGCGGGACCCGGGGCCTGAGCACATGCTGAGATACATGAGGTCAGCAAGACCTCGCATTCCTGCTCAAAGCAGAGGGGCAGCCGCTGGCCCAGGCAGCCTGCACGCAGCTCCTGCACGGGCCTGCCATCGCCCTCGGTCCAGCCATGGGCGCAGAGCTGGGGGGTTATGGGGAAGCCCAATTTCCCCTTGTTTTTCAGATTTCTCTTAACGGTTTCTTTTGGGGGGGGGTACACCCAGCGATGCATTGGAATTACTCCTGGCTCTGCACTCAGGAATTACTCCTGGTGGTGCTCAGGGGACCATATGGGATGCTGGGAATCGAACCCGGGCTGAGCCGCGTGCAAGGCAAATGCCCTACCCGCTCTGCTATCACTCCAGCCCTCTCCCTTAATTAAATGTTTGATCAGCAGGAAGTGTGTGATATGAAGAGACTGTGAGTTCCTGAAACTCCTTCCTCCCGGAGGCACCCCACGAGTCCCATCTCTCACACCTCCGCACCCCCAACCCCAGCACCTCTGCCAGATCCCCCGAGACTTGCAGAAGCACCAGGAGGTGGGGACCCCTCGCACAGGGTGCTCCCGTGCCAGGACAGCTCGGAGCAGGAGTCTGGGGAGGGGCTGTGTGTGTGGCATCACCCCCAGTTGCTGCCAGGCACAGCCCTGGTGGCTCCAGGGCCACAGACTGGCCCCACAGAGCAGAAAATCACCGAGATCAGCCCCACGGCCCCTTGGGCACTGCTTACGACTGTCCCCACAAAAGGAAACAACTTAAGAGGTTATCCTTCGGAACAACTGGTAAAAAACAAACCGGAAACACCTTCATAATCATTAAAGAGCAGGAAAACGGGTTGTTGTGTGGAAATGCCTCCACATGTGGTCCTGCTCTGCTTCCGTGGCCGCCATCACTGAGCCACACATTCACCACTGCAGAAACACACACACACACACACACACACACACACACACACACACAAGCCATCGCAATCCACTCTGCAATAACAAGCTTGGCACACTGGACAGACAGCACTGTCCGGACTCGACCAGCACTCAGCGGCTGCAGGGCTCTGTGTCCCCAGAGAGACCCCATGCAGTTAGCTGCATCCCCGTCCTTCCAGACCGGGGCTCCATCCCCAGGGCTGTTTCCCCAGCCCACAACCAGGGCCACTCCTGAAGGCGCCGGAATTACCCCTCGTGAGGCCTAGGGCTCCCTGTTCTGAAGAAAAGACACAAATCAGACTGTGGGAAACTTCTCAGACTGTATCCCAGCAGGAGCTACTCCCGGCTCAGTGCTCACTGGACAAGGCAGGAGTGTGGATGGAACTGAGCGCTGGCTGTGCGCCTGGCACTAGCCCCGTGAGTTTTCCTAGCCCCCACTCAGATCTGAAATGCTACAGAATCTAACATCCGGGGCCAAACCCCCCTGACCTTGGACCCAGGCACCCCTCAGAAACACTCTATTCTTCACGCCTCCCTGGGCGGCCCCAAGCAGCGGGGCTGCACACCGCATGGCCCTCTGCACAAGGCCTTCGCCTCGGTTTCCCCGATGGTGTCCTGGCTCGAGCTCGCTTTAACCTTGGGCTGAAAGTCAGTGCCTGACATTTTCAAATATTCTGACTTACACACAAAGGCCGCACCTTCGAAAACTTTTGAGATTGATTTTACTCAGCTAACCTATTAGTAACTGATGTCACTTCACTTACTGTTCTGGATGCCATAGATTTCATCGATGAGTCCCTCGTATGTCAGCTGAGTCGCAAGGGGCGTTAATAAATCCACATTTCAATCAAGCAACAAGAGGTTATCAAAAACAGGAAATACTGAATTCTGGCTTCCTGCAAACTCTCTCTTCATCCTGATCATCATATTGGCCACTTGCTGGAAACAAAGTACAGAACCAGGCAGAGCCTTTTTAGCAATGGGCGGATTTTTTAATGAAGCTAAAAAGAGCCCGGCAATCCAAAATTTAAAAATAAGACGGAAAAAAATGGAACAATAAAATAAAACAAGACAGGCCTGAGACAGTATGGTGGGTAGGATGCTTGCCTTGCAGGTGGCTGACCCAGGTTCAATTCCTGGCACCACATACGATCCCTCAAACCCTGCCAGGAGTGAGCCCCGAGCACTGCTGGGTATGGAGAGGGTGGGAGGAGGGAGAGTGCGAGAGAGGGAGGGAGAGTAGGGATGGAAAAGAAAAGATAAAGAACAGAAAAGAGAAAAGGAAAGAGGGCTGGGAGACAGCAGAGGGGCCAGGGGTCAAGCCTTGCATGCAGACAGCCTCATTTTGGTGGCCCGAGCACAGAGCCAAGAGCACTGCGAGGTGGAGCCCCAATCTCCACCCACAGGAGAGAGGCCCCCCTCCCCGCCCCGGCACACCCTGGCGCACTCGCCCTTCCCGAAGATCTGGGGGATGGTCCCGTACAGGGCCTGCAGCGTCATCAGGTACTTGGCCGCGTGGTACAGGCTCGTCTGGTCGCTGTCCAGGTAGCACTCCTGTGGGAGAGGGCCGGGCGCGTGGGCACAGGCTCTGCGAGTCAGCACCGAGTCCCCAAGACAGCGCCTGTACTGGGGGCAAGCATCGCTGGGCGGGCGAGGAAAGGCTGACCTCTGCATGCCCACGTGACCACACAGCAGAACACGCTGGACTTGCAGAAGGGCAGGCAGCCTCTCCCACATACAGCAGCGAGTGTCACAGGGGACAGGAGGACACGGTCTCGGAGAAGAGCCACAAGGTCCATTTAACACACAGACAAAAAGAAACATCTTTGGCCCAGAAAGAGGGAAGAGCACGTACGCGCCCCCAGCCGGGCGGTTCAGCAGGGCTGACAGAGCACACACGGTCCCCAGCGGGGCCTCAAGATCACTCCTGCGCCTCAATCCCTTCATCCAGCAAGTGCAGAGACCAGAGGAGGGAAACCACGCAACGTGCTTCACCTGCACTCCACCTGATGTGGCGGCACTGCTGGTGCCCATCGCGGGACTCTCTTTATTTTTTTCCTTTTTGGGTCACACCCGGCAATGCACAGGGGTTACTCCTGGCTCATGCACTCAGGGACTACTCCTAGTGGTGCTCGGGGGACCCTATGGGATGCTGGGAATCGAACCCGGGTTGGCCACATGCAAGGCAAACGCCCCACCCGCTGTGCTATTGCTCCAGCCCCTCATCGTGGAATTTTTGACCCTTTCTAAGAAGCGGCCAACAGGCGTGCACCCCAAAGGCATGAGGACGAGGGGTGCAGACTGGGGGCGGGGTGCAGAGGGAGACCTCCCAGAGAGCCTGGCCCAGAGTGAGCACAGTATCGCCAAAGGTCCCGTAGGATGTCTCTGTCAAGTCTGGGGTTCCAAGTCTGGGACACTTCAGTCCAAAACATCCTGGTCGGGATGTCCAAAGAGTCCTCAGAAAAGGACCAGAAATTCCTCATTGGAGCAGAGCAGAGAGGAAGATTCAGGGGAAGGAAAGCATTAGGGGGCATCTTTCAAACTGCTCAGAGGCCCAGGAGACTGTTCAGAGCTGGAACTGTGTCTGCCTGCGGACAGCAAAGCCGGTTCCTGCCCGGCCCTGCCCAGCCCCGAGCACCCAAACAAAACATTCATTTTAAAAAATGGTTTATTACTACAGAGACACCTCAAACAACTCCCACCCGGCGAGGCTCAGGGGATACCCTGGCTCTGCACTCAGGAATTATTCTGGTGGTGCTTTGGGGACCACATGGCTCAGCAGAACCGTGAGTCAACACAGGAAGCTGAGGGCTGGAGTCTGCAAAGCCCCTGAGGGAGCCCCGGCAGGTCTGGTCACGCCAGGCATTTCCTCTCAGCTGCCGACTGTCACGTAGAGGGACAGTGAACAGACAGACGGATGAGCCCGTCCCTGCACACAGATCCCGACCCCTGGCATCCTCTACTCCATGAAGCTGACTGCGGGGGGGCTCCGTGTGTGTGTGTGGGGGGGTGGTTGGACACGAGCAGCAGACTCCGTCCTGTGAGGGCTGGAAGGTCCCTCATATTCACACAAGGAAGCCTCAGAGAGGCTTGGTGAGGGCTCCGGGGCCCTTGGCAAACTCCACCCGGGCTGGGTGACGCCCTCAGCGCGCCGAACCCAATCTGACTGCTCATATGACACACACCAGAGTGCCCATGTTCTGGGGTCCCTTGAGCAGACTACCCGAAGTGAGGGCCCCTGCGAGCAGCTCAGGTGAGCAGAGCCGTGGCTACCCCCGCCGGGATGCCGGCTCGGGGGCCGTCGTGGCTCAGGGCGGGAGAGAAGATGTGAATGCAGCATCCACGGGGGGATGTGGGGCCCTTGGTTCCGAGCTGTCTCGGATCTGTCTGTTGGGATGGACCCACCCCGCCCGCGCAGGGCCAGGAGCGACCCTGGGTGTGACCGAGACAGCCCCTACCCTCAGGCGGGGTGACCAAGCCGCTTCCTCAACGCTTCCGCACTGCTGACTGGGAACAGAAGGAGCAGAGAGGCCGCTCCCAGACAAGCAATGACTCGCATGGAAGGTGAACCCCGAGTCCTGTCACCACACAGGGCCGGGCAGGCCCCTGTCCTGTCGCGGGACAGCGGGGAGGGCCTGGACGCGGGGCTGCGCTCGGCCTGCCAGAGGGACTCAAGTCGCCCCGTTTTCCCTCCCAGGGCCGGGCCGCAGGGCAGGAGCGCAACGCCCCCTCTCTCGGGCTGCACTGGGGGCACCCCCGGCTCCAGAGGCCGCCGCCAGCCCTGGCCCTCCCCTCGCTGCCCGCGACTCGCCCGGGAATCGCGCAGGGAGTACAGGGTCTCCCGCGCGAGGACAGGTGCGGCCTCGGAGCCGCCCAGCCCCGCCGCCATGTGATGCGTGGGTCACGTGAACATCGTGACGTCACGCCTCCGCCGGAAGCGGCCTGGGACCCCTTGCCTCTTTCGGGTCCGGGGTTCCGCCTCTTGGTTCCGCCCAGCCCCGACTAACCCACCTCAGGCCCTAGGGGTGGGCGTGGCTCAGGCCAATGTGGGCGTGGTCCAGGGAAATGGGCGTGGCTCGGCCCCCAGGTAGGCGTGGCCTGGGCGGATATGGGCGTGGCTCGGGTCCACATGGGCGGGGCCGGGATTCGATCTCATTTCTCTGCTTCTCCAGCTCTGTGTCCTTCTCTGTGAGCAAAGCGCTGGTAATACTGATGGATTTCTGCAGGGAAGCTTTCTCTTTATCGGGGTCTCTTATGAACACGGATTCTCTAAAAGACCAAAGAGTTCAAAATGCCAGAAATCAACCCAGAGAGAGGCCAGTGCAGTTGGCTCCCAGGACTGTTGCAGGGGGAGGGGCCGAGGCTTTGATGCTTGCAGAAGTTTAGTGAAATTTTACTGACTGTGAGGGAGAAAAAGTTTGACTATGTGTACATGCCAGAACCTGCGTATCATTCTGTCCATTTGAATTTAAAGAAACAAGTTAATAACTTTGGGAGATGGAGAACAGAAAGAGAAAAAAAAGGACTTGTTGCACCCACACCCCCCCCCCAAAAAAAGAATTCTTTTGAACAGGTAATCCCAGGTTGAAGTGCTATTTCTTGAATAAATTATTACCAAGCTATGACAACAATTAAATCACACACACATGCAAAGCAATTATATGAATGTCATGCAGAGCGGCTTTATGCTGGGAGTATCCATTGGTTCTCAGTCATTTCAGTAACTTTCAGCAAGTTCGGAGAACGTGTTTTTGAAACCTTTCTGAGCCAGAACAGGGGCAAAGATTGTTCAGACTAATCCAACAGAGAATGATTTTCATCCAGACTCTGGAGAGGACCAAAGTGAGTTGCTCTTAAACGGCCAGACTCGCCTCAAGGCTGGCTTGCAGAGGCGGAGATGGAGGACCTGGCCTGGGGAGAGAGGGCGGCAAGACAGAGAAGGAGCAAAGACACAATAGATACAACCCAACGGGTGTGTCTGTGGCTGTGTGTGAGTGTGTGTGTGAGAGAGAGAGCATTTACACCACAAAAGGACGTGTGTGGGGGAGCACAGGGCGGGGACAGACGGCCAGTCAAGACTGGGCAATGCCACAGCCTGGAAAGGACATGAGAGGGGACAGAAGTGTGGCTCCTGGGATGCATATTTGGAGAGAGACAGAGGTGCGTGTGAAGTGGGTGATCTCATTAAAGTCTGGGGTCCAGGACAGCTGTGGATGTTCATGTCCTGCTCACTGGTTCAAATCTGTGTGCCTTAGGGACAGAGGGAATTGCAGCCCTGGGAGAAGTCGGGAGGGCCAATGGGAACTCCCTCCATCCACCTTGCGGCACTGGGTCATGCATGTTTAGATCACATGCACTGGGCCATAGCACCAGTGATGCGGGCAGGTGACACAGTGAAGGAGGCGTAACTTACAGCAACAAGCTGAGTCTCCCTGGTCCGCGGGTGAGTGGGTGAACGAGGAGCATGTTCCGAGGGTCGGATCCCTCCAAAAACTGACAGGAGGAATCGGAGACTGAGGCCCACATTAGAAATGGCAGAATGTACGTCTGGTTAGTGAGATCCAAGATATCTGCACACACATTACAGAATTCTCACGGGTTTACAACAAACTGAAATTCTCACAGAGATGAAAAGAGAAGTGTGTATTTATCTCAGTGTGTGGCTCACACTTACACTCCAGATCATTAAGTAGTAAGAAAAGAATCTGAGACTAACAGAGATCTCTTGAATTCAACCCCAAGGGCAGGATGTACACCAGAAAGGGTGGACTTCAGTGCAGTTAAGCTATTACATGAGTAACTCCTCGCTAGGAAACAGGATCTTGTTTAGGTGGAAATAAGAGGGTTTTAGAGGAAAGGAAATCTCTGATGCAATCCCGTGGGTCAGGAATCTTGACTTTCCTATGGCATGTGTTTGGGGGCTGGACTGGGGTCTACACTTCACAGACAGGAGAGCTGGGTTGGTCCCCAGCACTGCATGGTCTCTGGAGGCGGGAATGACTGCAGAGCATCTGCGTCCCCAAAGCAAAGCAAAACAAACTTATTTGGTAACTGATGCCACCATAAGATTATTTTAAGAGTTCCTTGCTCTAAATCTAACACACACTTAGAAAATCTGATTTTGAATGTTTATTCAAAGTGAAGGGGTTTAAGGAAGATGAGCAGATTCTGATTTTTTGGGGGGAAGGGGGGTTATACCGGGAGATCTCAGGGGTTCTTCCTGGTTCTGCACTCAGGAATTACTCCTGGCAGTGCTCAGGGGGACCATATGTGATGACGAGGATCGAACCCAGTTGGCCGTGTGCAAGGCAAATGCTCTCCACGCTGGAATGTCGCTCCAGTGCCAGAGCCCCATTCTTCGGTCAGGACTATCCAACTTGCCTGAGCCATGAGCTCTGAGGCAGGAGGAGAGGGCAGCTTCCTTGGCGTGTTCCTGACACAAGCCTGGAACATTGCACAATCTCCCAGCCGGCTGTCCATGACAGGGCATGTGTGGCGACCCCTACATGGACACGGCCAAACACACCCCGGCAGCTGCTTCTGCTGACCAGTCC